AAAATCGTATTACGGTGGAAAGACGAAAGGAGACAGAATATACCCGATTACAATGATATTATTATTAATCTTAAAAACAGTACTATTTAATTCTTTTCTGTTTCCTTTTTTAAAAAAATTGTAACAGTAACCTAACTGGGTGTATAAATAAAAAAATTTTTATTTTACATTTTTAGAAGCTGATTTATAACTTGTTTAACCTTATCCCTGGGATGTAATTTAACGGTCCCTTCTATTATAAACGACATAAGTAGATGTGTTTTAATGTACATTGAACTCCGTAATACCAAACCAGTCATTGACGTCTAAACTTATATCATGTCAATACAATCGAAACACGCTGTCTTTTAACTAGGAAATTTGACACGAGTTGTTATTTATAACTCCGTAGTACAATAAAAAACTGCTCCACGTTGTCATAACCGCTGACAAAAAGCAGGAAAGTATCCTGGTCCGCAGTGTGCCTCATTGGTAAATCCCGACTGGGGTTCAAAGGCCGAGCTGTTTTTCGTCTACCCCCTCGTTCAAAAGAAAGCTTTTTCCCAAAACCTCGTTTCTATCCGTATACGACGCTTTATGGGTACGTCCAGTTAACACCATATTAGTTTGGACGCAAATTACAATGATAAGAGAGCTGTCCTACGTCTAGGTCGAATACACAGAGTGAGGCGGCGCGAGGGAGCGGATGGGATGAAAATTGTCTAACACAACCGAGAGCCGTTAGCATAATAGCTTTTTACTCCCTTAGGCTACTAATATAATTTGGCCTAAAAGATCCCCCTTGCGACAAGTGGGCCCCGTGGCTAGCTTATTACAGAGAATAGGGTTCCAGTCTCAGAGGGGTGTGCACGAACTCATGACTTTCTGTCGTAAAGTGTAGTAGTTGGAAGACATTTAGACGTAGCACGAGAGGATCCAAGAATTACCAACGTTAGCAGTATATTTAGGACAGAGCGTCCGGTATTCGTATACGAAACAGGATCACACACTGATATACAAAATAAGAAGTAAAGGCCGGCCGCGATAACCGTTCTTTCTATCAATGCTGACTCATAATTTTTTTCTGTTTATAGACATATCCTGGTTTTATATCACAAAAGCGATCCCACCCGCGCTTCTTATAGTTCAGTTTTACCACGCACTTCTACCCCGTCATACGACGGCGTTTATACCACGTCGAGTTGCGCCGAGTGGCGCGTTTTCTCGGGAGACGAGTCTGGCGACGCGAGGCGTATCGTTGTGTCGACAAACCCCAAACACGGTAACGATTGGGTTTGTATGCTGTAATTTGTGTGCTGAGTGCCTTGAGTATATTGCATACATCGTCCAGGAACTACTTTGCATCCGTTTTGTTAATATTGATATTTATCGTTATCAGATTAATAATTGAGCGGCAATATAATGGTGTCCTCGCTCTCCAATAAATCTTCGTTTATAATAAATCCACCCGTGGCCTTCGCGCCCCAGTTCACACCTTACTATTGCAAATTTTACGCACACGGCGCAAACCCTGAACTTACAGAATGTTTTATCTCGATAGGCTCGCGTACACCCATGATGCATATTTAAACCTTAAAAATTTATTACAAGCTTGAAGCCGCACAAAAACAAAATGTGGGCCGGAGCTATTGACTTTGAACACCGCGCGGTGTGGTTAGCATTTTGGCTTGGCGCTCGGTATCCTTTAAATTTTACACGTCACCGGCTCCAAAATGCCACTTTTCCGTTTCACAGACCCTAGGGGGTTTTTTGTCTAAACTTCCAAATCTTCACCCCACCCGATCTTAAATCTGGGGGTTATTTTTTTTCTAGCCTTTTCTTGAAGGTTACAGAACAAAAGGTTATAAATTTTTGATTTTGTTCTCCACAACCCGGGTCTTTTTGCCAAAAAGACACTTCCGGGTTTCCATTTTTTTACCTGTATGTTTGTTGGCATTGTTTTTAGGAATTTTTGTAACCCCCCCCGGTACCCGCGCCTCGCCGAGAGGGGGGTTCATCTATGACACTTTATCCCCAACGAAGAGGAACCCAACAAGAGAAGTGAGTTCCTCTAAGCAGGGCTTGCAGGGGCTAAACCGGGGTGCAGGCGGGGACCGGGAGTTTACTCCCGCCAAGGTAGACACTAATACTTCTTTTCCCCTTTTCTTTGGGAAGTAATCTCTACGGGATTTTATAAAGGAGTAATCTAGGTTACACCCGTACACTGGTTCTACTAACGGATATGAACAAATCCCTTGTCATTATAAGAGGGAGGGTTAAGAGCACGGTAATTTAAACTTTCCATAGTACGAGCGCAGACTAAGGAGCGTGTATAGGAGGAGTAATGAGACAACCAACACAAACTTACCAGAGCGTTTTTTTTGACATCGCCCGCCGCACCCCAATTTCCGGACCGATACACTAGACTTAGTTCTTCTTACTAACCATTATATTGGACGCGATCCATGAAACAGTACTTAGAGTTCACTACCGTACGTGACTCGGACGTGTTACAGGGATTTTTTACCAGTGAGTTATCGCAATGAGGTACATTGTCTGTTCGTCCTCAGACTCACGCTACCTTCGCAAGGTCGACGTCCTGTCTCCACCCAAACCTGTTTAAATTATAATCTGTATTGTTCGCTGTTTCGATATTTAAACTACAGTTGTGTACTACTGCACACTCGAACTTCCATTGACCCTGTATAACCTTACTTTTAACAGACCATACACTCCCTGTACAACATCTACCTATATGCTGATGACAGTTGGTTAATGTGACTTCCAATATGTTTCCCTACTTCTTTTGATGAATAATAAGTTCGTGATCTTTTCTTTTGGGTACATTATAGCAATGTCTCAACGGATTTTTTTTCTTAAAACATAATTAATATAATAAATAATCCAGTTTTATTAGCAGCCTGCATACGGTAAGCGACGCTACACTTCTAACGCGGACGGCATTTGGTATATTAAAGCGTTGATCGCATTAAATTCAAAATTAGCGTGGTACTGCATGTAAAGGAATTTAGTTGTAGAACTTAGAGGTCCGTTTACAATATATGAGCATTCGTCTCGAGTATAACTGAGTAGAAACACATGTTATCAAACTATAATAATATCCGTTTTTTTTTAACAATGACCACAATATAATAATTTTAATAAACCAAATATGAACAATTGAGGAAAATGAGGAAGAACTGATTA